TGTCAGGCGTCTCTGGTCACTTCCATTTGCTCCTTTTGGAAAAATACAACTGCGTTTCCTATGCCTCTGTCGTCTTAGAACGGGTGCTCCAAGTTGTGTGGTCTCTGCCCATCTCTGGGTCCTTTGCAATTGCAAGGGACCTGGTCGGTTGTCCCAGAAGCAAAATAAATACCCATTATAGGTATTTATTCACGATTTGCGAAGCACAGCCCTCCCCCCCCTCCCCCGCACCCCGATCCACTGACCACCTTCTTTCTAGCAGGGGAGCTGCTTCCACAGCTTTTCCCAGGTCTCTCTGACCCTTTGAGCACTAATCCCTTTAGCCAGAAGGGAGGCAGGTGGGGATTGATAATAGCTGCTACTCATTGAGCACCTGCTGTGGACCAGGCCATATGCTGGATTCTTTGCACACACTAATGCATTGCACTTAATCCTCATCATCCTGCAGGGTGCTCCTAGCCCTGGGTACCGAAAGAGAAAGCTGAGGGTTCAAGATGTGACGTAGACTCCAAGACTCCTGCAGTTAGGAAGTGGCCAGATTGTACTTTGCTTGTGGGTCACCACTCTGCTGGCAGATCCTTCCTTTCTGCTGAGGTGTAGATCTCTGACTGTGGCTTCAGGGTTTGCTCATTCTGGGGGGTATCTGACCCTTCAGAAAGGGGGATGGCGGAAGACAGTGATTGTACCAGAGGCCGCTTTTGGGGATCTCTGGTCAGAATCACTCTGGTGGATTCAGTAGCTGGAGCCCAGTGTCCTTGCTCCCCCACCCCACCCCCACCCCCCCTTGAATTTGGCTTGCACGGTTGTCCTTCTGGTCTCACCTCCTGAAAGAAGGGTCAAGTGTGTCCCTGACCCTACCTCTGCTGGGGAGGAGCCTGAGGGCAGAGGTGGGGGAGGGTGGGGGGGGAGGGGGAGGCTCTCCTCCCTCTTTTCCTCCCACCAGCCAACCAGGCCTTGACCCTGAACTTCTCCCTGGTGCCCCAGCCAAGTTTTTGTTCTTTTGTTTAAGCAATATCAGTTTCACCTTTGTTTGCTCCCTGGTGGAGCCTGGCCTGGCAGTGTGGGGTCAGGGTGGAGAGGAGACGCGAGGGTGGCAGTGAGAAATCTGGTTGTGGCTGAGGCATGGTCTTGAGAAAGATCTAGGTTCAAACCCCAGCTCCGTTGCTTTCTAGTTGTGTGACTTTGGATAAATGACTCTATTGCACCTGAGTTTCTTGCAAAATGGTCAGAGCACGTTACAAGACTGTTGGGCCGTTGCAAATGAGCTCATAAAGGGAAGACTCCAGCTTGGTGCCTGGCTCGTGGTGGATACTTGAGCTAGTCACCCCAGCCCCTATGCTTTTCCCTGGTGACTGAAGCTGTAGGACTTTGGGATAGGTTGGTGACCTTTTCCTAGCTTCGTGCCTATAGTGTAAGGACTGGATGCGGAATATGTCTGGAGTGACAGCTGTGGCCTGTGGGTTTGCTGAGACCCTTTGTTTTGCAGCCAAAATCCTTGAAGCAGGGCGGGGAGGACAACTCCAGCCTCAAGCCAGGAGACCTAGGTTCTAAGTCCAGCTCTGCTGCCAAGTGCTTGGGTGACCTTGGCAAAGTCCCTTGTCTTTTAATCTGTTTGCTGGGTTATAAAATGAGACCGTTGGGCTCAGTGACCTCGGATACCTTCTGTTGGCAGGTGTTAGTTCCTTTGGAACAAAACAGCACCTACCCCCTCTTCTGTGGATAATCTGGGAAGGCATTCAGCATCTCAACCCCCAGGCACCAACCCCAGGTGTCCACCAGCCCTGGGGCAAGCAGGTCTGTGGGACCCAGGCCCACTGACCTATTTCTGTTGTGGTCTGTGAGAAAGGAGACCCGAGGGCCCAGAGAGGGTGCCTGTGTGAACACACAATCCACAGGCAGGGGTGGGGGTGAGTGGAGAATAGACGGGTAGCTCAGCTGGGAGCAGGATCGGGTCCTCTCTGGTCAAGGCTGGGTCTGGCTGCTGAGTGGCCTCATTCTTCAGATGTACCCCAGACTGAATGGGCCTTGTCTGCAAAGCAGGTAAGGCAAGGGAGGGCTGTTGGCATGCCCATACACACAAAGGGATGCTTGCCCATAATGCTTGCCCATTGCTGACCTAGTCTTAAAGGGTTCCCACGTGGGAATGTCCCTCTTGTCAGGAGTCATGGGCAGAGAGGAACAGAGAGGGTGCTTCTGGAGTGGAAGAAAGATCTGCTTTCCTGTGCCCTCCCATGGGTACGCCCCACAAAGCTTCTTCCAGGCCCTGGGACTTGCTGGAGGAAGGCACGTGGGCCCCTGTAATGCAGCCTGGAGAGCCCCAGGATAGGTGTCTGACTGGGTCTACCCCTGGCTGTGCCCCTGACCCCTGGTGCGACCTTAGCCAAGCCGTTTATCCTCCCCAGGAACCTGGTATGGAAAGGAAGGGGGAGGGATCACCAGGCGACCCCTAAGAGGGCTGAACTGTCAGTGAATCTGGGTTTCATCTTTGGTTTCGAGACCACCATACCTGCCTCCTCTCTTCGCCTCTGTCTGGCTAATGAAAAATGGAGCTAGTAACTGTCAGCCAATCAGCATGCTAATCCCGTGGGTTGTTTTGAAACACCCCTTAACACTTTCACATAGTAAAAGAAGGGCAGGATGTGTAAACAACATTCCAGGGCTTCGGGGAATAAGAACCCTGTGGGGCGGGTCTCCCGCCTGAAACTGCCCAGCGTTGGGACCCCAGCCCCTGTCTGGAGGACTTGGAGCTGTGACTCCCATGGGAGTCTCCAGGCCAGGTCGACAAGTGGCCAAAGTACCTTTTTTCTCTGCTGGGCTGGATTTGACCTCCACTTGACAGGGCTCCCTCCTAGCTTGGGTGGCCGGGCACTCTGTGTACATGCGTGTTCATGCAGGTGTTCATTCGCATGTGACTAAAGGCTTGAGTGACCCAGGCCTGGGTTCTGGTCCAGTGTGGCCACTTTCTGCCGATGTGACCTTGGGCAAGCCACTTAACCTTTCTGAGGCCCCAGTTCCACTTCTGCCCACTTCTGCACAAGATCTATCAGGAGGACATACTTCATTTGCTAAGGGCTTAAAAGGTCCTGCTCTTTCAGATTTGGGCCCTGGGGGAATTCGCGGCAGGAGATGGGGGTAGGAGCACAGGGACCTCACCCTAGGGGACAGTTTTGCAACCACCACGGAGGAGCCTTCCTCCCAAGCTGCCAGACCGAAGCCACAGGCACGGGGCTGTGTGCGGGGGCTGGAATTCCAACACCAGCAGCTCAGCAGCTCCTGATTCCCAAGTCATGAAGTCATCCCCAACCAGGGCTTAACCCCTTCTGGCTCCCCACCCCCATGTGTGCCCAGTGTTCAGCAAAGAGTCTCCCATCCGGTGGAAGAGGGCTGTGTGCCCACTGCCTTCTCCCCTGGCCTGACCCTCCTCCCTTCCGGGAATCCAGCATCTGCCCTCTCGGGGGTGGAAGAGGGCATGACAGTCAGGTCCTGCCCACCTCTCCCCAGAAGCCAGTGGAGGAAGTACAGAGCCTGGGCCTCTCCTGCAATGCTTACCTGGTCCTAGGAACAGATATTCCTCCTCGGGCTACCCCCTTCCCTGGTGTCACTGGCAGTCTTAGCTGGGTGAAGGACAGCCTGGGGCAGTCAAAAAGACACCTGGCCTCTCCACTCTGAGTTGTCTGGCTGACTCAGTTATGCGACCTTAGGCAAGTCACTGCCTTGTCCAGAGCTCAGATTCTCTCAGATTCTGTGAAATGAGAGCATGGGACCTCCCTGGCCTCTGTAACTGGAATTCTGGTGGTTCTGAGCAGAGCCCCAATATCCTACAGTTAGGGGCTCTGGGAAAGAAGAGGAGAATGTTTAGAGGAGATGTAATGTTTAGAGGAGAATATAAGAGGAGAATGTGTATTGAACTTCATTGAAACCCTAACTCTTTTGGCAAATAGCAGGCACTTTAGTATTTGAGTTAATCAGCGGGGGGGAAAAAAATGAACTTTGCTCAGGGCTGTTGTTCTTTGGGAAGCCTCAGCCCCAGAGCTAAGAGGAAGGTGGTAAGCATTCTGAATGTTTCCTACCCTTGTGAGCTCTGGGGGATGGGAACAGAGTAGCTGATGTACTTATAGGACCTTGGGGAAGTTTTTGCCTCCCTGGACCTTGTACTTTCCCTTTGAAAGCTTCTTGGTGGAAGTGGGGTTTAAGATTCTGCTGTGATGTGACGGGCTGGGTCCCCGTGCGGTAGGGGCTGAGGACATTTGTGGGTGCTGGAGTGGGTGGTCCATCCACAGGATGCCTCTTTTGCCCTCCCCTGTGCTGGTACAGAAGAGATCTATGGGAGATGCTGGAAAGCTGAGTACAAGAGTGTGCTTACGTACTTGTGAGTCACCAGGTCTGCACAGTGCCTGGCCTGAGGCTGCCCTGGGGCGTGGGTGAGCCAGCCCTGGCTGTCCCAGCCCAGTCTGAGTCAGCTGGGAAAGGTGTCCTGGACTGGGCAAGACCGGGGCCAGCAGCCCTCTCCCTGCCTCGGGTGAATCAGCTGTGACTTTTTTTGCATCCTAGAACCCTGGAGCGTCATATCCTCAAGCCTGTGTGGTTCTGCATGCAGGCAGCTCGATGCTGAATTCTCTCTTTTCGACCTGCTACTTGTGTCAGAAGGAAATTCCCAGTTTCCTCTTTTGTAAAATGAGGTTAAAGACATGCCTTTGGTGTTAAGAACAGGGACTTACCCATACTAATTGCTTAGTCAATAGTACCTAGTAATATTTAATGTTCTGATTATTACCAACTTTATGATTTTTATTAGCCCAGGATGGGAAAGAGATTTGCCTAAGGTCACACAGCAAGTTAGGGACCAGGAGGGGTGGTCTCCAGGTTCTGGCCTGATTACCTTCCAGCACCCCAGGTTATCTTACTGAATGCCCACTTCACTGCCTTTTGGGGCTCGGGGGCTGCAGTAGAGCACCAGGGGGCTACCGATGTGGCTGACGTGACTCCCTTTTTCACCCTAGATCCGAGAGACCGAAGTCATCGACCCCCAAGACCTAGAAGGCCGATACTTTTCTGGGGCCCTACCAGATGACGAGGATGTTGGGGGGCCTGGGCAGGAACCCGATGATTTTGAGCTGTCTGGCTCTGGAGATCTGGGTATGGAGGATCTGGTGGGCAGCCTGGGCTCATGGGGTTGGAGGGAAAGTGGCCTTACCGAGCACAGGGTAGTGAGCTCGCCTTGAGACTTGGATTTGTGTGGGGGGTTTCCAACAGTGCTCCTCCCCTCTCGGAAAAGAGGAAACAAAAGTAACTATCAACCCTTTTCCATCCCTGACAACCCTCCTTGGGTGAGTTATTTGTTGCTTGGAGTTCATTTGTAGCTCTAGGTTTTCTGAGCACCAGCCTGGACCTGTCTGCCTGTGGCTGGGGGCCTAGTGGGTGTGGGGCTGGAAAGAACTGTGATAGTGTTTTCTTCTTATGAAAAGGAAAAGGAGCAGCTCAAAAGCCTGGGAGCATGTGTGGGCAGAGGTGTGAGTGGGGACCCAGGAACAAGCTCCTGCTTCAGAGGGGGGCATGGGTGAAGGGGTGCAGGCCTTGGGTGGCTGGACTGGGGGGGGGGCGGGGAGGGCAGGGCTGTTCGTGGTCTTCTGTGACTCCCTGGCTCAGGCTGCTGCACAGAAGCATCCTTCCTCCGTACAGAGTGCTGTGATGATCTCTGTGACCTCTGAGCCTTGGTTTCCAAATCTGTAAAATAGTAAATCAGTGTGTTGGGGATTGGACTGAGTTAAAGCTCTCTTGGCACATATACGGAGCACTCAGGATATATTTTAATGCTGCAATTTCTAATATTTAATATTACAGTCTAGAGTCTTCTCAAAGGAATCCCCTGGGGATCTTATGAAAATGCAGACTGATTCAGTGGGCCCAGGAATCTGTATTTCTAACCGGCACCCAGGGGATGCTAGTGGTCCCTGGATCCATACATTATGGAGCAGGGGTTTGGAGCTGACAGCATCTGCTCAGCTACCTGCTGAGCACTCTTGTGAAAGAACCAGAGAGCCCAGGCTTTGGAGCCCCATTTTACAGATGAGGTGACTGAAGCTGGGGTGGGAATGGTCACTTGCTGTACATTGAGCATTTGAGGGCCTAGCCATGGCTGAAGAAGGGGGAGGTCCTTTATCTAAGGGGAAGTGACCTCACACTCAGCCTTTCTGACCTTCCAGATGACTCAGAGGACCCCCAGATCTTCCCCGAAGTAATCCATCCTCTGGTGAGTAATTACATGCTTTTGCCTCTCCCCACTTGCTCCTCTCTAACACCTGTTGAGAAGGGCCCATAAGTGAGAGTCTGACCTCTCTCTGCAAGAAAGCTTTTATTCGGGGCTCTGGCTCCCTGGGGGCAGGCACAGCTGTGGGTCATGGGTAGGCCGTCCTCCCGGCAGGGGATAATCACTGTCAGCACTTAGATGTGTTTCCAGCCCCTTTTCTGTGCATTTCTAGGTATTTCCCAACATTAATATCAAGTTGTATATACAGTTTTGTGTATATAAAGTGGTCAGGAGTTTGTGAGTTTATTTCCTCACATGATTAAATGTGCTTCCTATTCATTTTTATAGGCCGCATCATCATAGTTCACTGCTTTTCCCTTTTTGATGGAAATGTTTTTTCTGATTTTCTAAAATTAGAACACTACAGCAAGCTTCTTTGACTCAAATCTCTGATTAGCTCCTTGGGACAGGGTCCCAAGCAATTTCTGCAGCTCTGCCACACTGCCCTCCGGGGTGGTGATTCTCGAATACCCACTGACCAGCAGTGAGTGGGATCATGTGCTTCCCTGCGCCCTTGGTCACATTATTCATTCCCCATTTGGGACAGACCTGGAAAGGTGGAGGGTGAGCCTTCGATGGCATCGTTGTTGAGAGTTTGGTGCTGCTTTCTGTCCCAGGACCCCCTGGTTCAGCCAGCAAGATGGCAAAAGCAGACTCCCTCCCTGGCTGAATGCTTCTGTCCCCTGCCCCAGGTTCGTCCCCAGACCACGCTGAGTGTTTGTCTCTCCTCCTTCCACCCCATGCAGGTGCCTCTCGATAACTTTATCCCTGAGAGGGCAGGGCCTGGGAGTTGGGTCCCCACCGAACCCAAGGAATTGGAGGAGAACGAGGTCATCCCAAAAAGGATCTCATCCTTTGAGGGGGACGAGGACGTGTCCAACAAGGTGTCCATGTCCAGCACTGCGCAGGGCAGCAGCATCTTTGAGAGGACAGAGGTTCTGGCAGGTAAGCTCCTCACCAGAGACTTAGGAGGGGGAGAGGACTCAGAGGGAGATAGTGTTGCAGACACGGATGCCTCGGGCCCCAGGGTACCCTGGAGACTCAAGGACTACACCTCCCTAGGGGGTGGCTCTGAGTGGATGAGTGGCCTGGTGGAGACGAGGAAGAATTGCATATCAAAGGCTTCTAAAGAACAGCCTGAGAGTCGGTCACTTGCCTTAAGTCCTTCTGTCTTGTTTTAAAAACATTTGCACAGCCTGGGGTTGGTACCTGGGGAGTTAATTATTAAACGTTAACTTCCCATGAAAGCCCATTAGGCTGGCTCCCCATCCCCCTGCTCTGTCACTTGATGGCCTTGTGACCTTGGCTGAGAAGCTTTCCAACCCCAGTGGGGACGTGAGCCCCAGTTTCCTCCTCTGTAAATGGGTACAATTCTACCCCTTGGGTTGGTATCATAACTCCATGAAAATTAGAATCTGAAGTAATTTGGCTAACTGGAAAGCGCTTTTCTGATTTGTGGGTGTAATCTGTCATTGAGTCTTCACTGACTTTTCATACTAGGTGGCATACCGGGATCCTTCATATGACAGATTAAGACACTGAGGCCTTGGAGAGGAGAGAGGTTCAGGGTTTGGCCTGACGTGAGAGCCGCAGGGTTCTTGAATGTGGTGTGCTATTGTGGAAGCTCTGTCCCAGGGTGGGGCATCAGGTGTGGCCTTCATCTGGGGTGGGGACGGCTCCCTCTCTCCTTCCCTGGCAGCTTTGGGATCACCGAAGCTCGCGGGGGCGGGTTGTCAGAGGGAACTCTCTCTCTGGCCAAGTTTTATAGGCCAAGGGCCTGTCTGCATGAACCAGCCTGGTGAGTGGCTGCCCTGGGCCCAGGCTCGGTTACTCCTGTCTCCTGGCAGCCAGCCGGGCCAGCACCTCCCAGGAGGCTTGAGGTACAAGGAAAGAGCCCTGTGCCCTGCATTTTGCAGATAAGGCTCCCTGGGAATATAACCCCAGGTGACGTTGGGCCCAGCTCAGCCCTGACCCTGGCCTCCTGATACTGGAGCCAATGTTCTTTCTCCTTTACCTTAGCTACTTGCTGAGCGATGTAAAGAGGGGTAGGGGGTGCTTTTGGAACCAGAGGGGCCCTTAGAGACCTTTTAGTCCTCTAAGCTTCAAAATATTTGGTAAAAACCTCCCCCATCTTTTTCAAACACAGAGTTTCACTTTTAGCTGGCATATGTGGGGTCAGCCTAAGGTTTTGCTTTCACCAACTCAGGGTTTTGCTGCTTTTAAAGAAAAATGTAAAACCACTGATCTAGTCCAACCATGTGTGTCTTATAAATGGGGAGACCGAGGCCCGGAGAAAGCAAACCACTTGCTTGGGTCACATAGCAAAAGACAGAACCAAAGCCAGGTCATCTCTTAAATCTTCCAGTTGAGAATTAGACAAGCATAAGATCTTCATGTGAGAAGTTATATTGTTGCATTCGTTGGGGTGGGACCCTCCTTTCCAGTAGCATCTCAGTGCACCTGGAAGTTTCTCAAGTGCTTACTAGATGCCATCTGATCCATGTGCGCCCCCTCACTGAGTCTCCACAACCCTATCGGACAGGTATGGTTGGCTATCTGTACTCTTACAGATAAGGAAACTGAGGCTCAAGAGAAGCCAAATCACTTGTCCAAAGTCACAAAACTAGGCACTGGGAGCCCCGGCATGTGAACCTAGGACCACAGTCACTTTTGAGACTGCCCTTGAACTTTAACCTGGTGGAGAGTCCCAGCACTGACCAAGGTCCTGATAAGAGGCGCCTGGGGTTATCAGAGGGGAAAGGTGATAAAAACAGTCATGGAGTTGGGATACCTCATTCCATGTGCTTTTTCTGTATTTCCTGGGGTCATTTTGTTGCTGCTCTCTCATATAGAGTTTTAGCAAGAAAGAACCTTACTGGGCTCCTCTGTTCCATTCTGCCCCCATTCTGTGCATAGATTGGGAGTGTGTGCAGGGATGGAAAATTAATCTCCTTAGCCCTAGAAGACCGAATTAGGGGACTCAATCTGCCACAGCAAGGATTCTGTGAGGTGTCCCTGCCCCCTCAGCAAACAGGATAGAGCCCTTCAGGCGGCCTGGCATGCTGCAAAACAGCTGTTCACCTGAGGTTAGCAGCCCGCATCTGCCTGATGCCAGTAGGCAGCCTTGGCCGGTGCTCCTCTCTGAGCTGAATTGGGAGAGTCATTTCATAAGCACTTCGCTGTTGTGCCAGGGTCCAATTCAGGGTGCTAGGGACACACATATAAACCACCAAGGTTTACAAGTAGTGAGTACCGAGGCTCTGCCATGCATTGTTCTAAGCACTTTCGGGGGGTTAATTTATTTAATCCTTAGGACTGATGTGTGAGAAAGGTCCTCCGATTTCTGTTTTGCAATGAGAGAGATGAAGGAACTCGCCCGATCACACAGCCAGTGATGAGTAATGGGAGTGGGTCGCAGGCCTTAGCACACACCGAGCTGCACACGTAGGAGGGGGAGCCACAGTGTGTCATTGTGACAGACAGCACGGCCGTGTTTGGTAGCGTGCACCTGTGTACATGGAGAACGCGTATGCCCGTCTGTAGGTGCTTGCACACTCAGCTCGCGGGAGTGCCGGGAGTCTGTCCGGGCAGATGGTCGCAGCCTGCCGGTTTGCTAGCTCCCGGCGCAGTGAGTGCTAAGCTGTCGCTGGGGGGTGTGCTTGGCTGTGGGCTCCAGCAGGTGCGGGTTGGAATGGTGGCTTTGCCGCCCTAGCGCTGTGGTCTTTGGGGACTTACGGTGACCCCCTGCTGTCTTGTGAATGAGGTCATGCCGAGCACAAGCAACAGCAAGGGGGAGCATGTCCAGCTGTGAGAGAGCTGACTGGGGGGAAGTGGCAGTGTACCCGAGGTCCTGACCCACGGCTCTCCCCATTCTTCCCCTGCAGCTCTGATCGTGGGCAGCGGCGTGGGCATCCTCTTCGCCGTTTTCCTGGTCCTGCTGCTGGTGTGCCGCATGAAGAAGAAGGATGAAGGCACCTATGACCTGGGCAAGAAACCCATCTACAAGAAAGCCCCTACCAACGAGTTCTATGCCTGAAGCGCCCACCTGGGCACTGGCTTGGACCTCCATGGGGAGGGAAGCCAAAGGATTTGGAAGGGTGGACGTTAGGGTAGGGGGAGGGCAACCTAATGCTGACCTGTCTGCATCTCCAGCTCTGATTATGTTTCAAGCGTCAGAAGAGACATCATCTTCTGTTCCTGCCTGCCTCTTCTTGATTCTCTGGGCCTCGGTTGTCCCGGCAGAAAAATAGGGTTACACTTGGCCTTGCTGAAGGCAGGTCTGGGATTGGATCATTTCTTAATCTTACACTTAAAATGTGGGCCCAGCTTACACCCTATCCTGAACATGCCTTACCCAGAGCCCCTCTGAAGCTGGGACAGGAGTCCTTCTGGGCCTCTGCCCCCAGCCAGCTTTCTCCCTCCCTCTTGTGAAAAGGAGCCAGGAGAAGGAACTAGAACCATCTGCACCTTGAGATGTGTCCGTCACAGGGCACTTGTGATCACACTACAGGAGTCTGGTATACCTTGGGCCATTCTCGGCTCTTTCAAGTGACTTTCTGGAAATCAACCTTTTTTATTTGGAGGAGGGGATGGGGAAGGAGGGAGGGTGGGAAGAAAAACAAAGTTCATACTGAAATGGATATGCAGAGTATTTGCAAATCTATCTTAAGCGGGGTATTTTTTTCTGAATGGTTCAGTCCTTGGTGGAGAGCCTCTGCCTGGGCAAGAGTGTGCCCATGCTGAGATGTTCTCCGCTCTCTTGCACTTTCCACAGTATCTGCTAAGTTTGTATTTAATGTTTTTTTTATTTTTGTTTTTTGAAAATGAGAGAAGAGACGGAGACATGATTTTTATTAATTTTTTTTATTAATTTTTTTTTTTTACTATTTATAGCTTCAGACAGGGCCTTCTTCCTCTTTTTCTTTAAATATCCTCCCCATTTTTTGGGGCGCCTGGGTGGCTCAGTTGGTTAAGCAACTGCCTTCGGCTCAGGTCATGATCCTGGAGTCCTGGGATCGAGTCCCACATCGGGCTCCCGGCTCAGCAGGGAGCCTGCTTCTCCCTCTGACCCTCCCCCCTCTCATGTGCTCTCTCTCTCTCAAATAAATAAAATTAAAAAAATAAATAAATAAATAAATAAATATCCTCCCCCCCTTTTTTTTTTTATACTTAACACTCCCCCAGCTCGTGACCTTGGCCCTTGCTGAAGCTGCTTCCTCTAAGAAGTAGCTTTTGCTGAAACAGTTTTCTAGCAGATCCCAAAATACAATGTTAGGGGATGGTGGGAATATTTGTGTCTCTTTTCTTGTAATATATTATTATTCTTCCTTGGTTCTAGAAAAATAGATAAATATATTTTTTCAGGAAATAGTGTGGTATGTCCCATTTGAAGTTGGCTGGATAGTTGAGTGAGTGGAATTTTGTTTGGCTGAGTGGGTTTTTGCCTCTCTCTCTCTCTCTCTCCTCTCTCTGTTCCTGGTGCCTTCTCCTGATTGGGCTGGAATAGTTGAGGGTAGACAGTTCTACCTTCTTTCTAGCTTCTGCTTTGAGCCCAACCGGTGTTCCTTTGTTTGCTCTCTCCGAATTTATGAGAACATTGGAGAGCTGTGCTATCCGCTGCGGTGGCCGCTGGCCACGTGCGGCTGTGCAAATCCGTGAAAATCACCCAGAGTTAAAAATCCATTCCTCATTTACACTAACCACATTTCATGTGCTCATTTGCCCATGTGGTTCATGGCTGCTACAGTGAACATGCAGGTAGGGACCATGTCCACCTGTTGAACCGCAGTGCTAGAGAACTAAACTGGCTTAACACGTCCCAGCCCCAGCCTTGCGGGGGGGGGTGACCTTGGTCTCTCTGGGCAAAGGGGGAGGGGGACTGGGGGAGGGCTGACTGGGCCCTGGCTTTGGATCTTGTTATTGGTGACCCTCCCCCGCCCCCCGCCCACAAAGAAGAGGCCTGGTGGCTTAGCCTGGGCAGGCTGCATCTTCTCCTGACCCCGCTGGTTGGGGTACGGGGGGAGTCGCCCTTGCCTCCTGCACCCTTCACCGCCACAACCCAGGGTCCCAGCTGGCTGGGTCCTCTGCACTGCCCACCCCGCCAACCCCTCTGGTTTCCCTCTGGCTGTGTTGGGAGTGAGCACCTCTTGTAGCCACCTCACACTGTTGTCTGTTACTTATTTTTTTTTTTTTTTTGATAAGAATAAAACCTGGTACTTTCTAGATTGCCTGTCTCTGTCATTTTTTTTTATTTTTGTCATTTTAAAGTTTGTAAGAAGTCATCCTTTCTGGGTTCTGTATCCCTTGATAGCAGCAGAGACGTAAGAAGCCAAGAAAGGGCGTGGAGAAGAGGAGAGGCAGAAAGTGCACACAGCGGCCTGTGGGCTTGTGCCTGCCTTGGTGTTCTGTTCAGATGGCACCTTGTTTCAAAAACAAACACAAAAATTCCTTGGATTAGGTGCCAACTATAGAAACGAGGATGTTCCCCATATAAGTCCAGATTCCCCACTTCTCTGGGGAAAAAACCTCAAGATTTGGCCCCTCTCCAGCCTCTTGGCCCCGTTTGGAAGTTGCCCACAGGCAGGATCCTGTCTTAGACGTGGGTTCTCTGCCTCGCCACAGTCTCTGTCCACCTGCTATTGCTCATGTCGCCTGCTTGGCCTCTGCAGACCCCACTGATGCCTGTCTTGACCCTGGTAAGAGCATTTTTACCAAGGCGGAAACCTGCCCTTACTTGTCTGCAGAGTTAAGCCTTAATTCCCGGGCCTTGGGCTTTGGGGGTCTAACCTTGGTGCCATGTTGTCCAGCACTTGGCTGGGGTCGGGAAGGATACAGTGGAACGGGCAGTAGAAGCAAACCCTCCCGTCACACACGTGTGCCAGAACCCATTCTAGGCTTCAACATGGGAACCCACTTCATCGGCACAGCAACTCCACAAAGTAGATGCTCTTAGTGTCCCCATTATACAGATGGGGACGCTGCCGCTGAGAGGTTACAGGACTTGTCTGAAGTGACCCAACTTAGCAACGGTTGATTTGAACCCAGGCACTTGGGCTCTGGAGGCTGCCCACAACCACACTGCCCATCAGAAGGTTTATGTGGCCCGAGGCCCTTCCACTGGAGGCTGCTCGGGCCCGGCTAACCCCCTCTGAAGCGGCGAGTCTGGTCTCAGGTCCCTCCCGACGTCCCCGCTATGCCTGGTTTTCCTGAGTCCCGCGAGGCTTGGGTGGATCTCTGTTCCTCATAACTTGGTTCTCGCAGAAGTTTCTCACGTCTGCTAGACCTGTGCTGTCCAGTACAGTTGCTGTTGGCCAAGTGGCTATTGCAGTTCAAATTAATTTTTAAAAAGGAAAAACTCAGTTCCTCAGTTGTACTAGCCGCATCTCAAGTGATCAACAGCCACGTGCAGCGGCAGCTACCCTGGGCCATGCAGACGGAAGCAGAACATTTGCACTGCCTCAGAAATCTTGGTCAGGTCTATGTCGGGTGATGTGAGACGGTGGCTCAGGGCCTCTGGACTTGGATTTCAGTTTTTTACCAGCCGTTCCCTTGTGCGCCAACGGCCTGCAGGGGGGAGGGTCAGAGCCCGCTGTGCATAAGTGCTCAACAAAAGGCACTTTATTCTCATCATCAGCACCATCTTTTGGGTGAGGTATTAGCTCCAGCAGGCCCCTCTATTGCCTATCACTGTGCAAAATTACCCCCAAATGTAGAGGCTTAGGACCACTATCTCACAGAGTTTCTGCAGATCAAGGAATGTGGGAGCTGCTGAGCTAGGGGGTTGTGGGGTCTCAACGTTGTAGTCAGAATGTTGAGCAGGGCTGCAGTCGTCTGGAAGCTTGACCGGGCTTGGAGGACCCACTTCCAAGGTGGTTGGCAAGCTGGTGCTGGCTGTTGACAGGAGGCCCCAGTTCCTTGCCATGTGGACCCTCAGGGCCGATTGTGTGTCCTCATGACATAGAGGCTGGCTTTTCCCAGAGAGTGATCCAAGGGAGCCAGGTGGAAAGTATAATGCCTTTTACGGCCAAACCTCAGGTCACACACTGTCACTTCCACGAAGTATCCTATTGGTCACACAGGTCAGTCCTATTCATTGTGAAGGAGTCTACACGAGGGCAGGAATGCCTTCAGGAGACAAGACCCCTTAGAAGCCATCTTAAAGACTGGTTACCATATAGCCTGGCTGCTGGTCAACTCTGGACAGGGCTTAATTTCCCTAGAGCACTAATTCTGAGGGCAACTTGGGATGATATTATTTCTGAGAATTGGGCACAGGATGCAAAGTTGATTTTAGACAATATTAAGCCATTTTGTTCATGATCTTGCCATTTTCCTGAAGCAGGAGAACCATGGATCCCTGTATGGGGCAATTCCTTCATGGGCCATGGGGAGGCCTATGGGCCAAATAGATTCCCCCTTGCCAGGAATTTGATAAGTCGTTTTGGGGGGTGGGAGAGTCAGAATTCTAAAGTGGCCCCCAGGAATTCTTCCCCCTGTTGTAGACGCCTGTATATTCCTTCCCCTTGAAAGTGGGCAGGATCTGTGAACATGATGGATGCCACTTCTATGATGAGGTTACATCAGATAGGAAAGGCGAAGGGGTTTTGCAGAGGTAATTGAGGTCCCAAATTAGTTGATTTTTGAGTTAGTAAAAAGGGAGATTACCCTGGGTGGGCCAACCTTAATCATTTGAAAGCACGAATAAGAGGGTCTGGAACCTTCCCGGTAAGAGACATGCTCTCCTGTTGGCCTTGAGCTTCCATGAGTTCTATAGCTACAAGGACATGAATTTTGCCAACAACTGTGAGCTTGGAATAGGACCCTTCACCTCAGACAGACTGCCCTGTCAGTCCTGGCTCGCACCTTGATTATGGCCTTGGGAGACCCTTAACCGAAGACCCAGCTAAGCTGTGCTTGGACTCCCAATCCACGGAAACTGTGGGACAATAGACAGGTGTTATTTTAACCTGCTACGTTTGTGGTAGTTTGTTACACAACAAAGAAAACTAACACAGGAAGGTCACTTGCCTCCTCTGCACCATCACTTTCCCCATCTGTGAAATGGGGGTTGGGGGGAGCGCAAGGTCTGGATCACCTCTAAACGTACTTCTGGAGTAATGACAATGACGGCAAGGGTCCCTTATAAAGTGGTGACAGTGGGCCAGGCCCTGTTGAAAGTGCTTTACATATATTGGTTC